ATCGTTAAATTCTGTGAAAAACGAAATAATTTTTCAATTTCTATGTTTTCTCAGCGGTAGATTGGATTGTTTCAACTCTTAAAAAATCTTTAAATTCTGTGAAAAACGAAATGATTTTTCAATTTCTATGTTTTCTCAGTGGTGAATTGGATTTCCTAAATATCATAAAAGCATTACAATAAGCAATAAATAAAAAAAATAATCGAATTTTTGGGTAATCGTCTATTGATATGAGACTTGCAAGCTATTCCAACATCAAAGACGCAGGGATTACATTCCTTTGTGCTTATTTTTTCCATTTCGCTTTAAAACAGTTCAATCTGTCCTTGAAAAAGTTAGCAATACGAAAAACATCACTTGATTTGTATTAAAATTGATTGAAAAAATATATTGAGCTTTTCGTTTTCATTTACGCCTTTTTTCTAATTTTTATCAAAAAACGTCATTTAATTCGTTTCATTTTTTATATTTTCATAAAAAACACTCAAATTTAATGTAAAGTAGCCTAAAACGCCCTTTACTTTAGGTTTTCTTTTATGTTGTTTAAGATTTTGAAATCGCTTGATATTTTGTTTTCGAAATTTTCAAAAAAAGCTCAAAATCAATTTGATCATAAACATCAGATAACCATGAAGATATAAAAACCACATTTTGAGATTTTTGAGACTTGTCTACAATTATGGACAATTTTTTCTAATCATGTTAAAGAATTTTTTTAGTTGAAAAGTTCAACTGTGGAGAAAAATAAAAAATGTGAAGAAATCTTATTTTAGTTTTCTCCACAGCTATGAAGAAGATTAAATAAGAATAATAAAAAGAATATATAAAAAATATCACAGTCTATGCTCAAGATTAGAGAAAGTATAGGATTACTCGTGAAAAATAGCCATTTCCACTCAGATGAATTACTCATCTCGACTACGACTCGTGTCCTAATTTTCATCTTAGTGAAAATGGCCAACTTTCCCATTCGTTGAGTAATATACTATTTCCAAGCTAAACCCAAAAATGTTTTATTTATTTTAGGTGGCTCCTAAAACCCTATCAATAATATTCGATATAAAAATGTGTAATTACCCTGTTTTCAATTTTCCAAAAACAACTCTAAAAATCGTTTGACTTTAAAACACCAGGAAACCATAAACAAATAAAAAATATAAATATATTAAGTTTCTTCGTAAATATTTACAGTTTTTTCTAATTTTTATGCAAAAACGATTCTAAAATCATTGATTTTTCAAATTTTCAGAAAAAATACTCAAATTTGATGCAAAATGACCTAAATTGCCTTTCACTCTACAATTTTTAGTTTTTTGGATTTTTTCTAATCATGTTAAAGAATTTGTACTTTTCTCAACCGTTTTCAGTTGAGAGAGTTATTCAGTCTTCAACTGCAGAAAAAAATTAAAAATGTGGAAAAAATCATGATAATAACAATAAAAAGAAAAAAATACTAAAAATATTAGACACAGTCGTTATATAAGTTTAGAAAAAGTATCGCATTAAACTCGTGAGAAATAGCCACTCGCTTTCGGCTCGTACCCTAAATTTTATTCTCGTAAAATGGCCAACTTTTTCACTCGTTGAATAATATATTATTACCAAACTAAACTGAATTATGTTTTATTCATTTTACGTGGCCTCTAAAGCCCCCCCTATTAAAAATATTCTATTTAAAAAATCTAATTATTTTGTTTTCAATTAGAAAAAAAACTTAAAATCGAGTTAATCCAAAAGATCAAATAACCATAAAGAGATAAAAAACATGTTTTAAGATTTGCTGTAATCATTTTTTCAAAT